TTCAAAGCTGCAAGTTTTGTTTTTTGAGAAAACCTGTATTAAAAACTTGATTTTTAAATAAAGCAGCATGAATCGACCCGGCTGCATTTCCACCTCAATGAGGCTGCAAGCCTGCACAGGTCGCCCTCTCGTTCCGGATCCGGAGACGGGCAGACGGAGGGGACTCACGGTAGGTGATGTGTCCGGAATCATCGGCATCGATCTCCCCAAACAGCCGGGAGACATCCAGGTCTGGAACGCCGAGGGAGGACCGCAGCAGGGAGGAGAACTCTTCCTGGTCGATGTTCCCATCTTCGTCCACGTCAAACAGCTGGGCACAGAAACGGCCAGGTGAAATAACTCCACTCGCAGAGCCACAGTGAAAACAATTTTCGGAGCACCACGTTGACGCGTAAGATTAGTTTCCTGTTTTCCGAACGGCAGTTTTTATATGGTATTTGTTGTACCTGAAATGCCATCTGAATGTTTTCCTCCGAGTTAGCGGGTCGACAGAGGACGCTGAGACCGATGACGTACTCTCTGAAGTCTATCGTGCCATCCCCATTCTGCAGAGGAGCACAGAGGGGTCACCTCATCTTCAACACATCCCAAACAAGGTGTTTACTGAAGCCAGGCCAAGATACGCTTTCTCTAAAGACCGATACATTGGTCCAACCGTCTGAGGTGCACTGATGGTTGTTTGCTTTGAATGAACCATAAATAACTGAAATCCTGGGCTCTATGATTCGGGAAAAAAAACATTCGAAGGATGACACAAAACCGTAAACCGAGAGTGGTGTGAATAATCTAGTGGACCGACTTCTCTCATCCTTCACCTACCCGGTCAAAGAGGGCGAACAGCTCCTGCAGGGCAGGCGTGATGGGCAGCTTCAGGAAACCTGCAAACTCCTCGATCCCGATCCGACCCCCTTTGCAGGAGCTAGCGATCGCTGCAAATCCCTCCAGCTGCTTCCTCACATTGTCCCACTTCAGGCTGTGGAGTAAGAACGCGAGGAGATCCCAACAATCAGGAGCACACTTTTAAAAAAAAAATCATCTGCAGCAAAAAGTGCTTAAAAAGAACCAGGAGAGACTCGGGCCTCTTTAGAAACTGTAGCTTTGGAATTTGCACAGCTGTAACACAGAATCCCAGTTGTCTCCCAGGGATGATAATTATACTGCAGGTACTTTATTAATAAGATGTTTCTTGGATTCTCTTTCCAATTTTTGAATAGACAGTTGTCCTTCTGAAACACGGATAGACAAATTAGATTTGCCAATTATTTTGGCTAAAAGTGCCAACTCCTGTATCCCACAGGGCGAGACTGAGGAAGGACAGACAGGCTCCATCAACCTGCCTACCCTTCCTGCCATCCAAGTCTTGACATGCTTCAGGCTGTGTGATTTACAGGAAGCTTAGCACCAGCTGGTGAAGGGGCATGTCCATCACTATCACCACTGCAAGCCTGTAGGCAACCAGGAAGTCATGACAGTTTATTTTGCTTGGCAGCCTCTGCCGACTTCATTTAATCCCACACCCTGGCAGGACTCAGCCAATCGCTCGCTTCTGTTCGAGGAAATACTGGTCACAGTCAGCCAATGACAAGAGAGCTGGGCTCGAGCCTGTGACGTCAGGAGTCTGGAGCCCCACTTGTGCATGGAACAAGCGTCTTAAAACCTGCCGAACCCCTGAAATCTTTGCACGATCCTCACTTGAGCTTCCTGCTGATTTTAGTGAACTCCACTAGCCCGGCCTCCATGGGCAGTGTGAGCTCGCCTGCTGAGATCATCAGCCGGCAGTCCTCATAGGTGTGGTCTGTCACAGGCACGCCCAGCGCTCTGAAACACACATACAGATGCACAAAGCTGAGCACGCAGACAGAGAGCTAGGTTCCTCCAGGTTCAGCCTGCACTACGAGGCTTAGAGGATACTGCAGGAGATGAGAATCGGTAGCCTTTATGGTGTCAAGAGCACAGGGGAGGCTGAAAGAGCATGAAGATTTACACTGAGATAAACAGAACTGGTAAACAAAAAAGTCATTTGAATATCACAGTTCTTTTAGAGTTTGTGCTGATCATCCCACCTAACCAACATCAGCTGACAGGGAGGATACATGCACCTGTCTTCACTGTCTTATAGTCTGTCTTTAAGGCACAATTAAAAGACACAAGGAATGGAGATCTCACTGCGTGGACATACAGAAAGTGCAGCCTGCATTTTACTGCACAGGCCTTTTGAAATAGGTCTCTTTAAATAAGCATATAATGATATTTAACAGAGAATCCGGCTTTCCAAAATCTTATTTTTAAAAGTAAAAGAAACAAGTGAAAAAGGATGGGAATGAATGTTCTATACCTCAGGTATTTCGTAACCCAGACACATTTTCAAGGAGAACAAATACAGTATATACACTGTATATAGCAAAAATATCATCAGAGCATGGAGTGTCCTGTTGAGCTTTAGCAGAGCTCCTGCTCTGCTGCTCTGCAGAATGGGTTTGCTAGCACTGGGTCTGACTCTTACTTGGCCATAGTGCTCCTGACTCTGCTGGCAAACAGCATGGGGACTTTCTTCTCCTCCTCGCTTGGAACGTGTGGAGGAAGAAACTGAAGAAGACAAAATCCGTACAAACACACAAATTCACATCCAGTATTGGGAAAGCATAACTTGTGCATGACAGAAAATCTCATGTGTGAAAATGCCACAATGAGGACAGAGAATTGACACTCTTTAATGGGTTCTGTGTCAATAGAGCTGCTGGTTAAGAACAGATCTCTCACTGTATCTGCACAGCTGTGGGAACTTACAGCCCAGGTCTGCTGTGATGTGCATGTGCATTTTGAAATTTAAAGCCCAAACTGCACAATGAGGTCTTGTAATTAACTGAAGCCGTCACTAAGGAAACTGATTAATAAGTTACCTTGAAAGTGAAACAGAAACAGAACGAAAAGTATAAGCACCCAGTACTTGAAATAAAATCATTTACTAATTATGTGTAATACTGTTTTTAAAGTCTAACGATTTATCAATGACACATGACAAATTGCTTTTTTTTCCAGAACAAGTGCTACTGAGGATGTTACAGCGAATTCATTCAGCTACAATACAAAGTATCGCTCATGTGTAAGAAACTGCTTTGACACATCTGCTCACATGTCATCTTAGTCCATGTCACTTCTGGACCAGGGAGAGAAGACCGTTTACAAACAGCGAGAGGCCTTTGGAGCTAATGGAACTGAGTATCTCATGCAGCTCAGTTCTAAAAGGAGCCACATTTTAGCTTAAAAACTTGGTACCTCTTGTTTGTGTTTCATTATTCATTCTGAACTTTGTCAATGACTCGGAGGACTTCGACAAGATGGCGGTTTTATTTTAATGGCTCGGATATCCTCTTCACTATGGTCTCTTTGGTCAGTCCTGCGGTGACGATTATTTGTCAAGGAAGGATGGGAAAACTGAAGAGCAGAAACTGATGACCCTTCACATTCCAAAGCATTAGTGCTGGTCTCCCAACAGTTAAACATTTCACGAACCTTGAGTTATTACACATCTTACCTCAATCTCTACATTGGTGTATAACTGACACAGTGTCAGCAACAGGAGAGTCCGCCTGTGGAGTTACAAACAAAATGCACAACCAGGTCACTCCAGGCTGCAGCAGAAGGAAGCCTTCTCCTTAAGAAAAAACGAGCTAAGCGCCTGTCACTAAAACCAAGCAAGGTCAAAAGTAGCAATTTACATGGTTGTTTTAAACTGAACTAGCGATGGGTAGCAATTAAGCAGTGCTTCTGCAAATGCAAACCACAGAGAATGGGGGAAGAGGAGATGTCATCTCGTATTTCACAACACTGGGCTGTGCCTTAACACTCCCCAGGTCAAACTCTACTGCGGTAGGTTTGAGAAATTGCACAGCAAATGGAATAAAACCCCTTCAAGCTACACTACTTCTTGTTTTATTGCAAATTCAATAACCCTTTGCATGAAGAGGAGAGCCACTCAAATGTAGAGCAAAAGTACATCCTGCAACTGTGCAGATATTTACTGGACTTATTTGCTAGCACAATCAGCTTTCCTCACCCCCCACCATTACAAACGCAGCAGCTTCTTGTAGTTCTTGAATTCCAGACTATGCACGTCAGCTCCTTCACTCAGCATAAGAATCTATGAAGTCCACCTTTACTCAAGCATCCAAACCTCATTCCTTTTGACAAATTTAATATGAACTCAGGTGCATAACGGGTTCTTCCCCCATAACCAAGCAGGCGGTGTTTTAATTTCTCAGGGAACCTTTAACAACCTCTTATGTCATCAGTTCAAGGTTTAAAATCCTTTAATATTTAGATCACTGCCTGTGCTCACATGTTTTATTAATTAGATCATTCTTATTCATCATCTCGTTCAGTAACAGACAAGCCGGTTTGATAAAATAGTAAGGTCAACAGATTAACTCCACACCCTTATGCACATCTGCCTGAATAAAACACAGTGAAGGTTTGCTAAAAATAAAAAAAAATAACAGCAGCAATAACTGGAATGAAACACTTTGCTTAATGCATCATGAGGCACATTCGCAAAGGGAGGATCTTTCAGAGAAGTTGACTTACGCTTTTGGCCCCTGCCAGGTCCACGTCACAGTGTCCTGAAACGGAGCAAACTCTCGTGAGGTTTTTGGTGATACAGCACTCAAAGCTTTTTTTTTCCACAGATAGAAAGGAAAGGAAATACACTCTGACAAAAAAAATATATTTTTACCTGCACTTTCACCCCTCGTTTCATAATATTAAGTTTACACTTTCTTTAAAATGTCCTTTTAGGAGATAAAGGAAACATCAAAAATCTGCACTGGGGACAAAAACTATCCTCTTACTGAACAACAAAATAATCACTCTTGAAACCGTTTTTATTATGCACAGTACCTACTAAAATGATGTTTGCATCAATGCTCTTTTGCCAATATAGATCTCCTGCATAACACAGTCCCTCTAAAAGGCAGGTTAGTGGTTCCAGTTTAACGTTAGAAAACAGCAGGCTGCACTACAAACAACACAGACAAGCTGCACTACTGCTTTACAATGAATGCAGTGCTGCAGCTGACAGCTGTACTTCTTCACAAGACTGAGATCGCGTTCATACTGACCAGCTGGTTCGGGTATCGGAGAAGCACTGGCTGCACAGGGACTCCAGGAATGAAGGCACCTAACAGCAGAAGTGGAAGACTTCTATTGAGAGACGTAATCACTACATACATATCATTACAGATCATATATATGGGTTTATGATGATGTACTGTCCATGAGGTCACTGCAGGGAAAGCTCTTATAGGAAAAGCCCTTTCTTTCATTGTCCTTGAACTAGATAGTGCTGACTCTTCTGGTGAGGCTGCAGGCTGTGACAGAGGTGCTGTCAGGTAATTGGCAGTGCACTGCAGCCTAGCTTGTAAGTGCCGACAGTGGCCTGCCATCTCCACGCTAGCAGGAAATGAGAGAGAAAAGGAAGTTGATGTTGCATCAACAGGGCCAGACTCCGCTTAAAGCTGCATTTCGTTCAGTATAATTAACAGACCGTTTTTTTTTGCATGAGGTAAATGTTTCCTGCTGCTGATCATTGCAATCAGCAGGGTTTTTTTTTTTTAAGGCTCCGTTTTGAAACATTGGTTCTTCCATTTTCTGTTTACAGCTGCGCACTGATGCGACAGTTCGGATTCAGCTACTCGTGAAATTTGATCCCTGAACAAGTGCAGTGTTTAGGGGGAAATTCCTTCCTCCTTGTACTGCAGCAATACTTAATGTACTCCCCTCAGTGCACTGTTTAATTGCATAAAACAGGCCAAATACTACTCCACAAAACACATGCACAGAGATGACAGGGCTAGTTCAATTCTTCTCTGGAATGTAGAGCTTCCCCACCTTGCTTGAATGTGATGAGACAGGACCGGTTGGTGCAGGTCCCTTCAGGAAAAATTAATACCTTCAAGCAGAACACAGTAACGTATGTTAACATTATTAAGAATCTGTCAGCATGTAACAATCTGATAAAACAAAAATGAAGTCAGGAGACAAAAGGACCACAACTCTACACGGAGATAACAAAAATGTGCAGTCCATGGCTACAGGAGAGGGAGAGCTCCGTCTAGAGAGCTTGGAAAACTTGAAGTAACACAGGCACATCCTCAAGGGCTCTTCCAGCTGTCGTAACTAAGACACAAATGAGCAGGCAGACTGGTGAAGCATTGTCAAAGTCCTGCAGTGAGACGAGGTGATACATTGGTAAGGATGTGAAGAGGCACCTGTGGCCATTTCCCCTGCGATGTGGCTCTCCTCTCTATCTCCAGGATGGTGTTTTTCCGGGAATCAGGATCCAGGCGGGATACCAGCACAGGCTGCAGGCAGCGCAGGAACCCTGGGACGAGAAACGGGAGAGGTTCACTTCTATTCTCACTCACCTCTGGTGACTAAAAAGCTTCTGACTTCTACTGTTCCATGTCTGGGCTCTCCATCAGCACTAATAATAATAATAATAATAATAATAATAATAATAATAATTACTTACACTTACAGTATATAGCGCTTTAATGGACATTCCACTCAAAGCACTCTACAGGTACTGGGGGCTCCCCTCCATTACCAATAATGTGCAGCCCCATGTGGGTGATGCAACAGCAGCCATACTGCACCAGTGCACTCACCACACACCAGCTATCAGTGGGCAGGAGAACAAAGTGATGAAACCAGATCAGAGATAGGGATTATTAGGAGGTCGTGATTGGTAAAGGCCAGGGGGAAATTTGGCCAGGACACTGGGCTTCACACCACTGCACTTTGAGAAACACCCTGGGATTTTTAATGACCACCGAGAGGCAAGACTTCGGTTTTCTCATCCAAAGGATGGCTCCTTTTTCTATACAGTATAGTGTCCCCGTCTCTATACTGGGGCATTGGGACCCACACAGATCACAAGGTGCGTGATCCCTAACGATCCCACTAACACCTCTTCCAGCAGCAACCTTAGTTTTCCCAGGAGGTCTCCCATCCAGGAACTGACCAGGCTCCCACCTGCTGAGCTTCAGTGGGGCTGCCAGTTGTGAGGTGCAGGGCGATATGGCTGTTGCACTAATTGCAGAAGATGAGGAAACACGCCAGTTTGAAAAGACGGACACAGCAACTCAGACACTCTTCAGTGGGACAGTGGGAAGTATTACCCTTCACAGCAAAATGAATCCCTATAAAGACACTGCTTTATTTTAACACAAAAACACAGGCTGGCTGAATTACTTAAATTCATTCAATTTTATCCGTGTTATTTGCATAAAACAGGCCAGAGGAATAAAGCTGCCACTTACGGCCGAAGACGGGCGTGGCCAGGTTTTCGGAGCGGGACACAGTGGAGGGCAGCCCGGCCACGATGCAGACAATCCCGTCGAAGAAGCTCGAGTGGGGGGCCACAGCCAGGATGGGCGCTTCGGCACTGCTCGCCCTCTGACCCTTCACCTGCACCCTGAACCCCAGGAAGAAGAAGAACGCACGCCCCACACAGCTCATCACGGCCTGGCTCAGGAGCCTGCAGC